TAAGAAATTATTAATTATGTAATCTTTCCCCAAAATTGTGTTTATTGAATAATAATAATGCTCTATATTCTATTTTCTTCCACTTGCTAGATATAAATCAATCCTAAAAAAGTGATTTACTGTAGTTTACTTTTAGCTACCCATGTATTCAAAATGGTCAGATTCATTAATGTATGTATCCAGAAATGTTCATTTGTTTTAGAAATGCATCCAATAATGTTAATATCTACTGTATTAACAGTGCCTTTTTTCTGGGCAGCATACTACTAACTAGAAAATAAAACCACACGCCTGATTTAAAGGAGAACATGTTCACAAAATTGAAACATTGAAAAAACACACAGATGATACCCTGATGCTAGCAGGCCAGTTAAAACCCCTTTGTCCTGACAGGATGACTTGGAACAGTGATGTAGAGAAAGTGGGGAATGTGGTGTGTGATTAGGGTAAGGAATAGCACGGCGAATGTGAAATACCTGAGTAACAAGATAAAGAGGTTGAGGCTTCTGTGGTGTCAGCAATTTCTTTTTCAAGTAGTTTGGGTTTTTTTCCCTATTTTCTATTCAGTAGATTCTTGCGATTCCAGAGGCTGGATTGGACATGACAAGCACTTACTGTGCCCTTGACAGGCCGAGAAGATGCGGAATTGGTTTGCATTTCGCTGAGACGCTCCACTTGTTCTTGCGTCGCTTCCAATCGCCTGTAAATCCCACCAGCGATGAGCGGTGCAATCCATCTGCTCTCCCCCGGGATCGAGCTGGGGCTGGGCCTTTTTCAAGTCTAGCCCTGCTCTTACCTTGCTGAGGGCACAGGATCAACTCCGAATGGACTGCAGGGCGGAAGGAATGCACAGACTCATGCAAAGCAGCGGAAATGAGTATCGTTGATTCAGTTCCTTCTCGCTGTTAAAGATTCCGAATGGTAATTCTTAAGATGAAGCAAAGTGAATCCAGCCATCCCTTTTCCAACTGCATTATCCGCTACAGAGCTGAGGGAAGCCAGAGCCTATTCCAACATGCAGCAGGTGCAAGGCGGGATGTATCCTGGACAGGATGTGTTCCGTCCCAGAACACACACAAACACAAACACTCCCGTCAGGGCCAAATTCCCTAGATGCCAGTTAACCTACCAGTGTGTCTTTGTACTGTGGGATGAAACAGGAGCATCCAGAGGAAACCCATGAAAATCTGGGGAGAACATGCAAGCTCCACAGGGTAGATAGATCCCCAGGAACTGAACCCAGGGCTCCAGCACTGTGAGGCAGCAATGCTGGCCCCTGCGCCACCTTTGTGCCCGTGCAAGGTCAATAAGAATATGACTTCAATCACCGTGAATTTCAGTGTAACAAAGACATCTGCCACTTTGGAGAGTAATTGTGAATTACTGTAGCTAAAAATTGCAAAGATTAACAGTAAAAGCCTTTACCCAGAGACTTGTGTGCAAGGTGATCATTGACTTACAATAATCCATCAGCGAAAGAACTAGAATTAATATATTGTATTGTTGTATCAGCAGAACCAGTTAATACAATACTGTAGTTCAACATAAAACAATAATGTGAAACAAACCATGCGTCGTACAGAGATATTGCAATTGAATTGGAAGCTCTGTAGGTACAGTTTACAGTAAATTAATTGAAAGTGATACGATATGAGAGCGGATTTAGCAGCAATACAGAGGTTGCAGCACTGCAGGATTTAAAGGTGCAGCCGGAACAGGTGGTTTTGGAGTAGGTGCGTGTTATCCAGATAGTGTTGGGCAACGGGAACTTGGTCAGACCCTGTGGGATAGTTCAGCGTAGCCAATCAGACCTGACCTGCATGTCATGGGGGGAAAACTGAGCATCTGGACAAACCCCATGTGGACCCAAGGGTTTAATTAGTATTAATTAGTTGGTAGCGGAGGAGAAACTCCACACAAAATGTTCGCCAGCGCTGTGAAGCAGCTGCTCTGCCACACCACCATGTCTCCCACAGACATTATGAAGCTTAGTTGTTCAACCAAAGAAATGAATGTAAAACTCTACGGCATGTAAAGCAAAAGACAATTTACAGAAATGTATTTATTTTCTCCTTCTGCTAAATGAAAAGGAACATTCATTATGACAGTAATGAAGTAGGAGTTTTTGTCAGAAAATCTTGCCGCTTTCACTTTCTGCTTGTTTAGGGGAAGGAGCTTGAAGGTTGGTCAAACTTCAGTCTGTTTATAAAATGTTAACTGCTTCCCCAAGGGTTTGCTGGAGAATTCGCAATATTGTATTGTATAAACATCTACCTCATGTACAATAATATGAGTATTTGGGCTCCTGATAAAAATCCACTCTTCAGACCTTTCACCTGTTTTGTATCGTGCAAACCCAAGAGTTTTCCTATCACCTGTTGAACAGTTTTTTTCTTTAAATCTTTCTCCAGAAGTTAAGGGAGAGAAAATGGAGAGAAGGATATGAAAAACTGATGAGCATTATGGATTTCTTTTAAGCTTTGGACCCATGTAACAGTGTGCAAACGTGCGGGCAGCATAGTGATCCTTTAAGATAAAAAGAATTGAAATAGTTTATCTGTCATTTCATGAGGCAGCAGAGAATGTGCAGTCTTAGTCTTGTCAGAGAATATCCTCAAGACTTTCAAGCCTTAGTGTGTGAAACCACACTTTAAAATTGTCAGAGGACACATCCCACATGCATTATTTATGTGGACAAAGAAAGTTAGCAAATTGTAGGTGTTTTGTCTGCCGCTGTTGATCAGCAGTAAACTCGTAAGACGTGATTCACATTTCAGAGAAGTTTAATCAAAGCTCAAAGTCAGCAAAAGCTCCACAGCCCTACACTTGACATGTGACAGTTCTCCACACCATTGATGCAATGTAGCTGAAAAATAATTTTAGCAAAACAAAAGACAACATTGAAAAATTATAAGACTGGAGTTTATAAAAATTAAATTATTAAAAACAATTGCAGATTTTTCTAAATATACGGTGATCACAATTTCTCACATCCCAGCAATCAGTATTTCATTAATCCTGCTTTGATTTTGATAACACAGAGAAGGCATTTCCTGTAGCCTAGTAGTAAGCAAACCCACCCTTCACAGAAGAGATTACATTATTTTTTCTTTTTAAATCATGCAGCTGATAAAACTGCCCAAAAACTCCATTTTGTTTCATCCATATTGGACGAGTTGACCTGGGAGTCGATTTGTTGCTGCTTGGAAGACTCGTGTCTATTCCTGTGATGTTGTCATGGAGCCGCAGACACCAGGTTCATGAGGTCAACCTTGGCCTGTAGCATTGGAGCCAGTGGGACCTGACTCTGCCAGAATTTGTGAAGATAAGCTGAGCAATAAGTTTGGATCAGCCTCCTAATTCTGACTGCACGTGATTGAAACATACAGTATGTCCTCTTCCTGGTCCAGTGGCAACTGTTCAAATAGCCTAGAGCTTCTGGGCAATGGCTGCAAAGCCATCACTAGAGTCATGGAGGTAGAGCTTTTACCATAGATCTGGAGATATTTCTCCAACTTGTTCCATTGTGACATATTTCTGAGTGTTTTACCTCTGTGCTCAGCCTCCTTTGATATCTAGTGGATATCACAGTTGCTTTCAGTTGTTTCTGTAAACATTACAATGTGACTAGAAAACATGAGTACTGTAGATAAACAGCCGTTATTTTCAACATATTATACATGCTATAAACGGATTTGATCATTGTGTATTCAGTATAATATTCCGTTATTTGGATGTTTATTTGCACTGCTGATTGTCTTAGTTTTTTTGTTGTTTTTGTATATGCAACAAATTCAGAATGTACACTTTCATACTTTTTCGGTTGTTTTGCACTTTAAGTTTCATTGTATCGGAAGGCTGAATGCATTTGAAATCGTTCAAACCCTCTGAGGTGCTGGATTTCTTTCTCCAGCTCAAGTCGAATTTTCATTTGATTTGATTTTCATCTGTGATGTGTTGACAGGTTTAAATTATTAAAGGACTGTGAATTAACGTTAAAGCATAATGTATGTTGTTCCTTAGGGAGCTGGCAACACAAGGAAAAAAACTAATGAAACATAATCAATGAGAAGCTAGAGAAACAAGAAACGTATGGTTCTAATACTAATATATAACAAGGAGCAGACAATGGAAAACAATGGAGCAGCCTGGGGAAATGAGTGACATCAAGCTTACTGAAACAAGGGCTTCCACACAGGTGTGGCTCATGTGTTAATGAGGTCTAAAAATGCTGGGCAGGCCTGGATGCCTACTGTATAATTACGATGAGCATGCCTGCTGGAGACTTCAGTGAGTGTGAAAGACAGCCCTGAGTGCTTGGTTCGGTCAGTGAAGGATTCTGGTGGGCCTGTAATATGGTGGAGTGCTTGGGTACACTCATTCCCTCTGAATTAATCACTTTTTTCAATTATAGTGGTGTTAAGAAACAGAATTTCTGGAATTACACACCCTTATCAATTGGGCATTACAGATTGGATTCCCTAACCTACAGTAAGTGGTTGACTTGATTTTGAAATGTGGTGTTATACTGTACTTACTGTAAAATGGTGATCTGGCCACAGATCACTTCATCCCAGCTGGACAAAGCAGTTGTGCAATGTTAACATTTCCTTAGGTGCATGAGTCATGTAACAAGTGAACTGCGGAAGTGATCCTTTAAGCAAGACGAGCATCCAAATGCATCCCCGTGCTTAAGAGATGGCATTATTTTACACAATAAAAGATCTAAATTACTTTAATCTTAAATAGAGACTGTAAGGAGACCTGAATTAAGTATTCATAAACTCAAAGTCATTGTACTTCTTCAGAATCAGAAACAGCCAGAAATGAAAAATAAGTCCCAGCCATGAGGGTGAAGCTCATATCCTGGCTTCTGTCAAGAACCAGATGAAAGATATCCTCAGATCAATCAGGTGTTAGCAACTGAAGGAGCTACATAGATGAGTCAAGTGGACTGCTATTGCTTGTAACGATTTGATGCTCTGTGTCTCTCTGTCCAGTGGTTTCCAGCGACAGTGACAGCGACTCTGAGCGGAGCTCCTCCAGCCTGGAGGACAAGGCCTCCACCAGCTCCAAGAGCACCCAGAGTGGCAGGCAGCCTGACGACCCAGGTGAGCCGACCTGCAGCAGAGGCTGTTCTGCGACACAGTGGGCCTCAGGCAGTAACACAGTGCCTGTGTACAGTGGGCCCTTTCAAACAAGCTTTCATTTACAGCTAATTCATTTTAATTAAATAATTACAGTGAAAAGGATACCGCAAATCTTCTTGAGGTCAGGATATATACCCTCCGTTCGGCCCTTATTGTCTGTTCCTTTTCATAAGCTAGAGTATTTACCGATTTCCTTCTGTGTTCCTGTTTCCTGCATAAATGTGATATATTTAGTCACATATACTTATCAGTTTATCTGTTGGGCTCTCAGTGCAACTGAAACCATTTGTCATTTTTGGCATCGCACTCTCCAGCCCACACAGAGAACTCTGTATCATGTACATACTGTACTGTATATACAGTAGCAAATGTTTTTAAATTAAACCAGCGAGCTATATGGACTTAATTGTCTCCTCTTGTTTGTAGACTTTATTTTACTGCAATGTACTATTTACTACATAAATATTTGTAGGGTGAGAGCTAACAGGTTGTTTCATTGCAGTGTCCAGTGGAGGTGTGACCGCAACACCCACTAGCTTGACCGGCAAGTTGCTGGGCAGCCTCCTTTCCAGCCACACCCTCTCTGAGAGCCGCTCCAGCCTGGCGAGTGACCGCAGTGGGATCCTGGGAAGCACAGACACTGGCCAAAGAGACACCTGTCCTGAAGACTATGACACGGACTACAGCAGGCCCTCTCTGAGTGAGTGCAGCTTCCTGTCTTCATTCCAGCATGAGCTCTGAAGCCTGTTTAACGAACATGCTCAAGTTTTATTGATGGAAATTAGAGGAGTAAACTCAGAGGAGTAAGCCTCTTTGCCTTAAATCTGATCTTTCTGCCAGACGTATTTTGAGCAATGAATGTGCACGGGCACACCAGATTCAGGTAATCAATTCACCAGTGGGTTTGCAGTTTCAGTTTTCTTCAATGAAACAATAAAGCATTCCTAGGTTGTACCTTTGTTTACTTAAGTCTTCTAACGGTGTGATCATTTTTGCGAATGGTTGATTCTGAAGTTAAAGTTATGATACCACATTTAGGTGGTAATTTATTCTGTTGTGGATTTGGTGTTACAATTCTCAGTCCTTTTTTAATATAATGTGATAATTCACATCAATGGATCCTCATGTCACTACACAGTGTATACTATTCTCTCCCAGCCATCCACAATTATAGGAATAGCTGCAGAGCAAATACCTTTCCTCACATGCATTCATTTCCACATGACATAGCTTGTGTCATGTTACTTCCCTTAACATATCTGTTCCAATTGAACTGCTCTTCATCAGGTTCCTCCAGGAGTAAAAGCACTTTAAACCTGTGAAAGCCAAGTTGTACATGTTTTGGAGAGACACAGACATGTGTACTGATTCAATCTTTCCCACTTGCTCTTTAAGTACCTCATTGATTCTGACCTTCCTTAAGAGTTTGTATGTCCTTTCCAAACGTATTATGCAATGCTATAGCTTCCCAGTTTTCTTTGGCTTCCAAGATGCTCATAGTATTTGTCAGAGAGACCTGAGGACAATCAGTTTTAGGAAGGTCAAAGCTCTGTTCTATAGTGTCGTGACCTTGTATACCAAGCGTCCACGGTCAGTAAATACAGGCTGCTATATTCTCTGTCCTGTGGTCATTTTGTGTACATTAGTTAAGAGGTTCTCACCCTAATTAATGTCCTGTAAAGCCACTCAAAAGCTCATTTGTAATCTGTGAAGTCTTGTTATTCATTAATGGTCACTCCTGAAGCCCTACAGGTCTCCTACTCCCACTCCTGAAGGAGTGAAATCCTTGGCACTCACTCACAGACAATACAGACCACAGCAGAAGCCTTTTAAATCTACAGACCTCTCTCAGTAGTATTGCACCTGTCTGTGGTTCATGTAATCTGTGCTGCAGGTGCTTCAGAACCGAAAGAAAACTATTTTCAGCACAATTTTGTTTGGCCTGGATAGCACAAATCTGGCTGTGCTGGGTACCAGAGCTCTTAATTACAGCCTCCCTGTCAGTGTTGACAAGCCTTCTGATTACAGGCTATCACAGGGAGGTTGTATTTTTAAATATTGCGCTTCCTCAGCTGTGTTTTCCGCAGACCCTCTTTTCACAGCTTTCAGGAGAGAAGGCTCTGTCTGCCACCCAGACGGCCAATTAGTCCTCATTTGCACAGTCAGAGCTGGTGAACCAGGGTGCCTGTGCCCAATTTGTTCAGTTTGTCTTTTGATAGGTGCCTTGACATGCTTGTTTTAAGGAAATATTTCTAACCTGTGACCAGAATCTTTATTACTTTACTGGGAATGTCAGTTTGACTTTTTATTCTTTGTTTCTTTATTGTCTTCTCAGTCACAATAAAATGGGCCCTTGCACCAGCACATCCATCTTCTAAGCAAAGTTTTCCCTTATTTTTTATTAATATTATAATATATAAGTTAATCATCTGTTTTTTATGGTCGAGCCACTTGATTGATGGTATCAGACTGTCCTCTGAGCCCAGAGCAGTTCTTCTGAGAGATGCAGTGTTCTGTTTAATATTATAGTGTGGAGGTACTGTAAGTTAATGTACTTTACTTTTGGTACCTAATGATAAACATCAGTATTGAATTTTATTATCTTTTTACTTTATTTTCCATGGTTTCTGCCTAGAACATTATGCTCAGTGTGCTCTAACTGCTCAAAGAAAACCTGCTTCTCTGTGAAATGGTGAATTGATAACGAAATAAGAAAGGTTAACCCTTACCAGCCTGCGTACGAACCAATACAGATTGGTTTAGGGCAGTGCACACATCCAAAGAATGAAGTTTTGTTCTGTTCTTTCAAAATTAGCCAATGTGATCTGTGAAAATTACCTATGAAAAACTTAATATAAATGTCTTTTGTTACACTATAAGCATTACAGCCTCCTATTTAAACAAATGGTAACTGTGTGCCGTTTTTGAGTATAAAACCAAAGACCGGCCGTCAGTTGACTGTATAATTATACAGAACAAAGAGGGGAAACAGGTTTCTTGTAGTTCTAAATGATTTATTACACTTATAGCTATAGCCTGTTATTAATCAACAGATAATGAGGTTTGCCCTGCTCCTAGGTGATGTCTCACTGGTCAATAATTTATTTTCAATATGCTGTTTTTCCCCTAACCTTTGGAGATTAATCACGGCGCTCATTCATTTAGTTCTAATATTTTTCTTTTCCTTTTTCGACATGTGAACCACTTAAATTGACATGTTGCTTGTACATTTGGGATGTGTCTTGATGGTATTTAATTCCAGTCATGCAGTTTAGTTCATACACTTAGTATAAGCTACTTTAACAATACTAAATAAAACACCTGAGAATGGATCTTGATTTTCATAGAAAACAAATAATTATGCAGCTTCTTAACTAATCATTGATCACTGGTTAACGGCTCTGTCTTGGTTTTCGAGTGCTGCTCTCACAATTTAGGTGATTTAGCTTCTCATAAACTGTCAAAAACCAATTACTGTTTTGAAGAGGACTGGTACATTTAGCTGTCCATCAACATGGCAATGTAACTGAATTTTATACACTGTATATTATAATATGCATTTACATTTTACAGTCCCAACAGAGAAAATGATAGCAGAACAATGGAATACACAAGTGTTTCCATCCCTCAATCCTGCAATAATAAACTGGTAGAGGAACGTTTTTATTTGCTCCAGGTAGAGAACTCTAGTGTTGCTTTTGCACCGGGAAACACATTCTCCATTGAAAACATGTGAGTCATGCAAGGTTATCTGACATGATTAAAACTAAAATAAACAAGGTTGAAGGGCTGCTGAGCGAGCCATGAAACTTGAAATATTAACACCGACTTCTCTGTTTCCTTGTTAGTGTAAATAGCCTGCATCATTTGCTGCATTTTGAGATACACAATACGAATATAAAACCTGGAGTCTTAACATTAATGTTTTATGGTGCAGTGCTCAAATACCTCTTTAATATTGCCAGGACGACTGAATTTTTGTATGGGGGAAAATACTGTGCTAAAGCATTTGAGCTCCTTTACAACATTGTTTTCCACACTGCCTAAGCTTATCCTGATTTCTGTATCATCAAGTGGACTCATTAAAAGTCTTATTAACGCCGGTGTTCTGATTAGTACTAACTATACAGCTGGCATGACTGAAATAATCAGAGTACAGTATCACGTTCAAGGATACAGTGGTGGTGGCTGTAGAAGGTTTTTTCATGTTATACCCACTCAGTGTGGAATTGCCCATTGTTTCCTTACACCCCAGCTCACAGCAATGACTGTGTCCCGCAGGGAGGATGAGAAGAAGCAGATCTCTGGCCCGCCTGTCCATCCAGCTATTCACATTTTGACACATTGCCAGCCTCACAGGGCCTGGCTGAGGAGATCACACTGATTGGAGGAGCTCTTTTTGGATAAAGCAGCCAAGCCTGTGTTGTGCACCTTCCTTAATTGGTATGCATTCGTTAATTGTTCCCAGAATGTACAGCTGGGTGTAGTTTACACCTTGTGTAACGTCTCTCCCTGGCTGTCATTTGTAAGGATATGCAGGGTAGGAATGGCTCTTCCTGTATTGCTCTCCGTTTGGTATCATACAGGCCAAGGTCATGTATACAGAGAGTTTGGCACTCCAAGACAATCTTCCAAATGAAAATCGCTGCCTACCATTGACGTAACTCAGAGCTCTGCTATAACACATCTTTGTATTTGTTCTGTTTCCAAAGCTTTTTTTTTTCTCTGCTCTTTCTCTCTGCGGCACTGCAGAGTTCCAGCTCAGTTGCAACTGTCATAATTGAGGGAAAGATTGAAAGGCACTTAGTGGCTTTCATTTTTCTATTGATTTCACTGAAAGACAGCAAGTTGCTGCGCTGTGTGGCTGCGATGAATCACCTTGATTTCCTCTAACGGACCCTGCAGAATGCACTCCTTGCCCATTCCAGCCTTTTCCCCCCTCTCCAGCTGTTTGTTTCTTTTAATCAAGGCTACCTTGACATTAGGAGATATGTTATTTGTACGTTTATGTAATCATGCTTATCTACAGTTCTTCTGATCCCTTACTTTGCCCCTATGAGTACAGTTTGGCAGAGGGGGCTGAGCAGAAGCAATGGGATGAGGATTCTGAGGGTACGGCTGTGTGGGAGCACAGTCGCTTGTTCGGACCTTCGACACAGTGCGAGGCCCTTGCTGGTGGTGCTTGACTTCCATCTCCTCACCATCGCAAACCACAGCCAATCAACCCTCCCTGATTGATGGCAGATTCCAGATGCACAGTTCAGATTTCAGACCTCGCTTCACCTGCCCCTTGGCTAACCTCTGTTGGTGTGCTGGTCCTAACTTGCATATTTTGATCATTTTGTGAGAATATAAAGTTAAAGAACTACAGTAAAAGCCATTTAATACAAGTGAATTCAAATTGGCCATAGAAGCTTTTTATCATAGTGATGTTTTTTTGGAGCAAAAAGTACATTCTGAAACTATAATAGCTGAGTCTTCTAAATAGTACCTTATCTCACCCTAACACTTAACGCTGTATAAAATATTGAAATTGTTACCTCCTACTTACCATATGGCTCTCGTACATTTTTAGGTATTCGGTTTGGTAGGACATATTGTTGTATGACTAATTGTGTGTCCAGTCGTCAAGGAAAATAAAAAGAAAAGAGAAAACATTTTTATTGTTAAAGCAGCATTTGCATGTGTAATATATTATTT